ATTATTTGTTGATCTAAAAGCAAAAACAGTGTCACAACACCCAGGATTTTTAAGTATAGACATTCCCCTTGATATCATATCTTCTAATCTAAAGAAAAAAGAATGCTGACATATGGTGATACCTCATAATAGCAGTGTTAGAACTGATACAAACACCAACCCACTACTATTACCACTGCTAGGTACTAGTAGCCTACTGAGCATTTGAGCAACTAAATGACAATATAGCTTCACTCCAGTAAAATATATCTGTGGTAATTTCTTCACGTTAAACCGAACTTTTATTTTGACGGGTTTATTCTGAGTGTATCTGACGATGAAATGCTGAAGATAAACGTGTACTTGAGTATGTGTAGTACACGAACCTGCGGCACTCACTTGCAGAGACTCGCTGAACAATCAGATTTGATTGCAGTCTTTAATATTCACAGTGACTAGTCCATATAGCAATTTCGTATTATGATTGGCAGTGAATAGACAGATCTGTTATTTCAGCTATGCGCCGGTATTGCAGTAGCAAATAGTAGAAAACAAATCACACACGCGCAGGTCGTACTTGTCAATGACTGGCACTACAATCTGCGGTAATCTGCGGAGGTTTCTGTGGTGCATACTACAATAATACGTTACTGGGAACATAAAAAAGACACCTGGACTCGGTCGAAACCAAAAGCCATATTTGGCAAGACCAGTGGCCGAGACCAAGACAAGTCCGAGTCCGAATACCAGCGAGTCCGAGACAAGTCCGAGACCATAGAAAAACGGTCCAAGACCGGACTCGAGTACTACAGCTCTGCTTAAGTGTATATAATTTCGGCTCGGACTCGAACACGGGACTCGAGACTCGACTCGGACTTGAACTCAGACTCTTCTTTGGTGACTCGACTCGGACTCTTCTTTGGTGACTCGACTCGGACTCTTCTTTGGTGACTCGACTCGGACTCTGCTTTGGTGACTCGGACTTGGACTCGGACTCGAACACTGGGACTCGAGACTCGACTTGGACTCGACTCGGACTCTGCTTTGGTGACTCGACTCGGACTCTGCTTTGGTGACTCGGACTTGGACTCGGACTCGAACACTGGGACTCGAGACTCGACTTGGACTCGACTCGGACTCTGCTTTGGTGACTCGGACTTGGACTCGGACTCGAACACTGGGACTCGAGACTCGTCTTGGACTCGACTCGGACTCTTCTTTGGTGACTCGACTCGGACTCTTCTTTGGTGACTCGACTCGGACTCCGCTTTGGTTACTCGGACTTGGACTCTGACTCGAACACTGGGACTCGAGACTCGACTTGGACTCGACTCGGACTCTTCTTTGGTGACTCGGACTTGGACTCTGACTCGAACACTGGGACTCGAGACTCGACTTGGACTCGACTCGGACTCTGCTTTGGTGACTCGGACTTGGACTCGGACTCGAACACTGGGACTCGAGACTCGACTTGGACTCGACTCGGACTCTGCTTTGGTGACTCGGACTCGAACACTGGGACTCGAGACTCGACTCGGACTCGACAGTTGGTGACTCGACTACAACACTGCCCGTAACTGCTTGTCTGGGATCAGTTTTTCCTACTCCAATCCAGTGTTGTTGGACGCTTGACTGGCCATGGGAAGGTTTTGTCCTCCTGCTGCACCGCTGTAAACTCTCAGCTCTGTAATCAGCATGTTTGTTGGTTTCCTGTATTTGCTGCGCTCCTAATCTTCCTTACCTTCAAACCCTCGTTATGAGCTGCAAATTTGTTTTTTAAATTTAAAAAACAAGTTTTTAGGGTCTTCCAGAAACATTGAGCGCTGTCCCGCCTCTGTGTGTACTGTATTCAGACAGTGTGTGTGTGTGTGTGTGTGTGTTCAGGGTGGAGCACAACACAACACCTTATGCTGCTTCTCATCAGAGCTCGGACCAATTAAACACCGCTGAGTTTCGCTTCAGTCTTCACAGTGTGTGTACATGCCTCAGTCCATCACAAGCACATTCCTCTTACACAGTAGTGCAAGATAAGCATTATTAACAAAAAAAACAACGATAATTTAAAAAATAGTCCTCCTATTTAGGGCTTCCTCCGACTAAATATTTATGTAGTTGACTAGTAGTCGTTCATTTAAGCCAATAGTCGACTAATCGCACGTTTATGATATTAATTTTATTACTTAATTATATATGGGGGGATGGCATCAGAAAATGGTTTGAGTTTCAGGGCTTAGAAAGAATATTATGTAACATTTAAATGCACACCAGTACGCTGATAACTCACAAAAGAGCTTAATGACATGACCTGTTGTCCGAGTTTACATGCAAAACCCACACTATAAAACCCAATAACGCAAGTAAACCATGTTTACAAGACTTTATTAATAAACGAGGTTACATATCACATATGCACACTTCAGTAAGCCGACAGTTAATGCGTTTACATGCTGGGCGGAATCGCCGTAAGGAGCAAAGATCTAGCTTTGACGCTTGTTTTATGCTAACGCTGTTTATGACCTAACGTTACTCCAATAAAGGAAAACCACAGGTTTACGCGTTTACATGATCATGTGCATTGTCGGGTTAAGCATAATCTGGTTAAGAACGTGCATTGTTCTACAATACAGAGAAATACCAAACCATAATATTGAGCCTTTAAAATATAAATTAAGTGCTCAAGCGCACGTATAAACGCTCTGTAAATAAGCAAACGAAATGCACAGGGGTGGACTCACTCCTATACAGCGGGACAGTCCTATGTAGCGCGACATGCTTTCCTGCTCACTCCTTCCCAGCCTTACATAGTCGTAATACTGGTTTTGAACTGTGCAAGGTGATTGGTAGCGTGGACTGGGACGTCACGTTCCACAATGAAGAGTGGCAGGCTGCTCTTCCAGTGGGATCTGTAACACACAGAAGCAGACTAACACACACACACACACACATATTATTCCGTGCTCTAGCGTACGTAACCATCTTGATTATTTATAAATAATGAATTTGAATAAATGATGTCTCTTTTGAAATGGTCAGAAAGAGCTGTTTTCTTTTTTGACAGTTCACACATACTTTTACATATTGTTGAAAGTTTGGAAATGGTGTCTAGAATTACTTTTTACATTGTTGTTACCACATGCTCTTAACAAGTTAGCTAAAATAGCAATGTGGTCTTTATTAAGTTATCACCTGTCAGTCATTTTCTTTGCTTGTTTGATTTTAAGGCATCACAGTGTATGTGTATTACTGACTTTTGTGTCTATCTCTTCTTTCTTCTGTCCCATCATAGGCATTAGATGTTCTCTCTCTCTCTCTCTCTCTCTCTCTCTCTCTCTCTCTCTCTCTCTCTCTCTCTCTCTCTCTCTCTCTCTCTCTCTCTCTCTCTCTCTCTCTCTCTCTCTCTCTCTCTCTCTCTATGGCCCTGTTTACAACTGGTATTAAGATGTGTTTAGGTGTAAAAGGGCTAAAACGTTTTGAACTTGTGCACTTCCGACCACTTTCAGAGGTAGTCGAAAACACGTTTGACCGGATTGCTTTCTTAGTGTAAACGCTCAAGTGGTCGTCGAATGTGTTCAAACAGCCACAAAAGACAGTCTACTCTCCACCTACTGACCTAATGCGTAAATATTATCCCTCGTCTACTTGTGATCCGATCGACCAAAAGGTGTAAACAGGGCATGTCTCTCTCCTTTTGCTCTGCGTCGTGTCCATCAAGGGAATATTTCAGGCGTTTTGTCTCGACTTGTCTGAGGTCACTGTGTGAAAAGTGAATGACTCGTGCTGTTTATAGGATAGCGTGTAAATCTCTAGTGTAAAGATGTTGGAAACAAAACCATATTTTTTTTCGAGACGCACATAGACATTTTCACATGTACAAACATGCACGCTAATTCTCAGCACTTACAGCGTCATGTGGGACACAGTCTGGGCTTTTATCCAGGATGAAATTAAAATCTATATAACTGTAATATAAAATAACTAATCAACATTACACATTTATTTAATGGTTGCCATATAGTAAAATCACATTTGGACATGTTACCTTGAAAAAATGTATTGTTTATATACAGTACTGCTCAAAAGTAAAACATGTTTTACAAAGAGAAGCCTGTTATGCTCACCAAGGCTGCATTTATCTGATCGATAATACAATAAAATACAGTAATATTATTAAATGTTATTACTTTTGTAAAGTGTAATTTATTCCTGTGATCAAAGCATCATTACTCCAGTCTTCAGTGTCACATGATTGTATATGATGAATATGATTTGATGATCAAGAAACATTTCTGATATTATCAAAACTGTGATACACTACCATTCAAAAGTTTGGGGTAAGATTTAAAAACATAAAAGAGATTAATGCTGTTCTTTCAAACTTTCTATTCATCAAAGAATCCTGAAAAAAATATCACACAAGCAGCAAAACTGTTTTCAACATTGATAATTAATAATCATAAATGTTTCTTCAGCAGCAAATCCTCATATTAGAGTGATTTCTGAAGGATCATGTGACACTGAAGACTGGAGTAATGATGCTGAAAATTCAGCTTTGATCACAGAAATAAATCAATTTGCAATATATTCACATTGAATACAGCTATTTTAAATTGTAGAAATATTTCACAATATTACTGATCTGTTTTGATACAAATAAATACAGTTTTGCTGAGCAATATTACTGATTTTTCTGTGTTCTGTGAGCAGAAGAGACTTATTTCCAAAACAAATCTAAATTATTCCTAACTTTTGACCGTTTGTGTACCATGGTGATGTGTTAATAATGTTTTTAATTATGCCTTAGCTATAAGTGAGAGACATTTCCCCTCATCAGTCCATGATCAGGTGGTTTTCATGCTATCTCAGGTTGTCTGCATGTGTGTGTGTGTGTGTGTTTTGCAAACATCCCTTTCAAAATTCTCCTTCTCCAGAATAAACAAAACACACTGCTATTAATTCGCTCTTTATTCTGAAATGCTGTACAGAATTAGAATAAATGAAAAATATTTGTTTCTGTCTCTCAGGGAGCATCAGCTTTGTTCGATATGATCGAGTACTATGAATCCGCCACTCATCTCAACATCTCCAGCAACAAGCACATCGGCACCCGCGGGTGGCAGGCCGCCGCACACATGATGAGGAAGGTGAGACCGTGACTGACACACTCGTTAGGAACAGTTGATGTGTCAAGTCATCTTCATTTATACAGCGCTTTTAACAATATAGACTGTTTCAAAGCAGCTTTACAGTGATAATAGGAGATTAGAGTAACAGAGATTGTTTTGGCTTTACAGCGGCTCTAGAATAAAGTTATTGTCCAGCTAATGTTAGTTTTGATTGATTCACTTCCGTTTCAAAGATCATTAGTTTTTAACTTAAAGGGTTAGTTCACCCCAAATTGTAAACTCTGTCAGTAATTACTCTCCCTCATGTTGTTCCAACCCCGTAAGACTTTCGTTCATCTTCGGAACACAAATTAAGATATTTGTGCTTAAATCTGAGAGCTGGATCACTCCTCCATAGGCTTCTTCAGGGATTGAAACTGGCCGGCCCTAAAGTTATGAAAGACATCGTTAAAATAGTCCGAGTGACTACAGTGGCTCAACCTTAAGTTTATCAAGCGATGAGAATACTTTTTGTGCGCAAAAAAAACAAACAAAAATAACGACTTTATTCAACTATTCATTTCCTTCTCTGTTGGCCTCGAGATAGTTCACGTAGTGTAACAGCGCAGCGCTTCTGGGTTGTGTTACATTCCTGCTAATGTACAACTATGTGTATCAAAATAAAAAACAGGTCCTCTTATTCACCAAAATTCAGTGCATCTACTTAAAGAATAAAGAAAACAATAAAGAAAATGTAGCGCAACTTCAGCAGGGCACTATTTTCCATTTTTCATTGTGTAAATATATTTTAGGAAGCAAAATATAAACTTGCATTGTACCTGCATAATGGATGTGAATAAAACTCAAAATATACAATCAATAAAAAACAAATATTCCATAACAGAATGTAACCAAATGAGAACATGTCAAGGCAGAAATATGCACTATGGAAGTTCGATTAATGGATAAAATTCAGAGTCATTGTTATTTGACGCTTAAGAAACGTAAGACCTGGTTGTGGCACAGTGTCAGTGATTATTTACTGCTTATATTGAATCTTGTTTATGTGCTTGATTTATTTCTATTTATTAAACAAAACGTGTGTAGTACTGATTATTGGAGCCCATTAATTGAACTTCCATGCTCTTATATAGGACTATGTAGTATGTACCAATTTACTAATGCTCGGACACACTCGGCCTCGCTCGCGCGCGGACACACTCGGTGTGTCATGGGCTAATTTTGATTTTAAAGTGAACTACAAGTGTCACCGACTACTCTTAATGAGCTTTTTGAAGAGGCGGTGAGGAAACAGAGTTTAAAAATCACTAACGATCCGAATCATGTGCTCTATAGTGAGTATGAGATGATGCCCTCAGGTAGAAGGTACAGGTTACCAAACTGCAGACTGAATAAGTTTAAATTTTCATTTGTACCACTCTCTATAAAATAATTGAACAACAACAAATAGGGTGTGTGGGTTAGTTTTAAGGTGGTGAATTATGTGTAGGTAATTATGTTATGTGTTATGTATATTGTGTTGCATCTGCTATCTCGAATGCCCAAGATGAATTTCTCCGTCAGGAGACAATAAACGCTAATCAATCAATCAACTAATCCTTTAACCCGCTCCGGCCGGTGTGCTCATCTCAAAGATGTGCTAATCTTTATCCATCTGTGTGTCTCATTCAGACGAGCTCTCTGCAGTACCTGGACGCCCGTAACACTCCTCTGCTGGACCATTCGGCCCCGTTCGTGGCCCGAGCGCTGCGGATCAGCGGCAGCCTGGCGGTCCTGCACCTGGAGAACGCCGGCATCTCAGGACGACCGCTAATGCTGCTGGGTAATGCATGCACAAAAACAATGGTCGGGAACACCGTGGACACAACTTCGGTTATCCACAGGGTTCCCACGGGTCCTTGAAAGTTTGTGAATCTGAAAAAAAAAAATTCAAGGCCCTAGGTAGTTTTTGAAAATAAGCACTTGAAAGTGCTTGAATTTATTTTGTGCAAGAATAAAATTCCATATTATTCCCTCCGGTCCGCTAATGTGTTATTTGGCCAACACTTCGTGGCTTATGTACACTAGGGCTGTCACTTCTGTGAAAAAAATCCTGTTTGATTTTTGAGACATAATTGTTCATTGAATCGATTGTAAAATCGATTTTCCATGTCTAAAGACATTTCCATTTTCAACACTAAATACAGGCAAATCCACGGACACCTAACAGGCATTAGGACGAGCGTAAAGAGGCGCTTGAGACGCACAAGTCAGCAATATTCCTGATGATTTATTGGCGTGAAGTTTCGTGCACAATGACAAACAGGAGCGCAACATTCAGGGAGTGAGATTAACACCCTCGACCCGCCAAATGCGGGTACAAATGAACTTAAAGCGGGAAACGCTGTCAAATCACGAGCCAATCTGTGTTTCTATGTTTACTCACTTTGCTGGGGAAGTTCGTGTGAGCCAAATCTGTGCGGATTTAGTGCAAATACGCAACTCGTGAATCCTCATGACATATTAAATACAGCGTATTGCAGAATCTGCTCATTTCTGGCTTACTTGAACACACACGTCACTACACAACAGATAACGGCGCACTTGTTCACTTGCATTGAAGTAATAGCGAATATTAAAAAGCATTTGGTTAACAGAAAAGACATTGTTATTTTCCAGCATCCCACATGTTCTGTGTGCTGTATTGATCTGTCCACCTAAAACACATATTTGGTCAAAATTGTTTTAAAAAAGGCCGTTCAAATCGATTCCCTATTTTCGTTTTCGAAACTTGTGTTGGTTGATCGATTGTGCAATAGATTTTCGAACGTAAAGTGACAGCCCTAATGAATACTAGCTTGCTTGATTTACGTAAGTTACGCGCATGTATGCGTCACGTTAAGTGTTTTACTTTGGGTACTTTGTGTTGCCGTGATGAACAGAAAAAAAGCTTTTTTGCTTAGTTGTGTTTGACACATGAAAACTGTAACAATGTATCTTACAAGGTGACACGACCTTGCTCTCACTTGAAATGTGTCCCCACATTAAGTCCTTGAATTTAAGGGTATTGGACCTGGAAAGTCCTTGAAAGGTGACGGTCCTTGAATTTGAAGTTAACCAAGGTGTGGGAACCCTGTATCCATATTGTTTGTTAAAATGTGAGTATCAAATATGATCATCAGGCTTTTGAGGAAGGTTTATTTGTGTTCAATCATAATTGTATTACATTGCATTAATTGCTTTGATCATAAAACTAAGCATTCAGCTTACTAAGACATTATTGGCAGATATAGAGTGATGATGATATGCATTTTCTGTAAGTAGTCTGCTATGCTGTTATAATTGATTTGCGTTAGAAGCATTACATCAGAATTTCATCTTTCTTTTTGGCCATATACATATCAGCATGTGCACCAAAGTGCATATTTTTGCTCCGTTTGTTCCTCTAAATAAAAATGAGCGATGAAAAAGCCTGATGTATCTTATTGGATACTCACATTTTATCATGATTTGTCAACAACAACAAAAATTAGGTATGGATAATAAAGTAAACTTGTTGTTTTAGTCGAGTACATTTTAATCTTGAAATATTAATAACGATATACAGATTATGACTTTCTAAAAGAGTGTGAACTATCAATCAGATGACAGAAGGCATGTAGTAGATTGTGTACAAGTTTTGGCCATTGATAATTTAGAGGCCTTACAATGCCTTTTTACTTTCCACATCATGAGTTTTTCTCGTTTGTTTTAATGTTTGCATCCCTCCTCAAGCTTGTGTGAGCACAGCGCTGCAAACACTGGCTAAACCTCGTGAACTACCTAAATACAGGCAGCCCAGTACATGCCCAACCAGAGACAGATTCATACTGGACCAATACAGGACACATATCACTGTTCCCAGAGCAGTTCCGGGACTCTCTGACCATCGTTTGGTCCATCGTTTCCCAACATAGTTTTTGAAGCTGGAGCCACTGATCTAGATTAACTCACTACATCAGTTTATGTGAGAACATGTGAGTTCCTACCAGAACTTAACATAATGATAATAACGATCAACCATGGTTTACTGCAAAACTCAAACAGCTTTTGCCAAGCCAAAGAAAGTGCCTACAGAAGTGGGGGAATTCTTGTATAAACGGGCCAAAAACACGCTGATGAAAGAGAAAAGAGTAGCTAGGAGAAGCTGCTCTTAAAGGGGAACTTGGCAACTCTAGCCATTTCTTCGCTGATTGTCACTTTTGTTGTCGCATGTGTTCTCATCAGCGCCCCCTACAGCTGTGGGCCGTATATCTCACAACACTGTCGTAAAGTAACTCACTTGCGGCGCCTTTCTAACGCTGCTCGCAGTGCTTGCAGTGGGGGGAAAAAGGTGCCGGTACTCTCTTGCATTGGCAAATCATGACATTTGAAATTTCTACAGTGAAAAACAAAACTTGCAAATATTGCTGGTACAACAACAATTTATTGTTATTTATTAACAACATAAATATAGTGTATACTTGTAATGTATACAAGTCGTGTGTGCGCGCATTTCTTTACAAAAAAACATTCTCTTTTTAGAAGTTGGTCATTAATAAACTTGATTCTTGAAGTATGCAATACAACAATTGCATGTAAATGGTAAACAACAAAAACAACCGAGAAAACCACTCTGATATTGTCTTTTCAGTCATACTTCGATATGTTTACAAGACAGCAAACATATAAAAAAAAAGTACACTCGGGTTTGATTTGGGCATGTCTGTGTAGGCTATTACATAAACTAAAAGAAAGCTTATATTCTGACTAGTTTGCTCGTTTTATTTATTTATTAAACATATAGTTTTACCCAAACTGAATAATTAAGAAAAGTTTAAATGGCTAAATCTTGTATACCGTAAATATTTTGGAGTCTTCATTTTCTTTTCTGACGTAGCCTACTCCAGTTCTTGTTAAAACACACTAGACATGCAAATTCTGTGGCTCCTCGTGTGCATTTGTTATTATCGGAGCCGGCCAACTCTATCGTGTGGAGCTGTGTCTACCGAGTCGGTAATACATCATACACAGTATCATAGAATTATGACGAATTGCCATAAAGCAGTTCGTGTTTCTCGCTCGTTCTCGCTTCTCACGAGATTTCCTATTTCCAACTTACCGGGACGTTAGTTAGTTGGTTTTCCGCCTGAGAACGCTGAACAGGTTATTTAACCATCCAAATGATTTCTAGTTGAAATAGTTGCCAAGTTCCCCTTTAAAAGCTGGAAAATGTTTTCATCCAACAATCCTGCATCATGAACACCCTCAAAGACGACACCAACTACAAGACATCGTCGCCTCAATCTGCTGGGATTTAACAACTGGCTGATTCTGTTGTCGTTTTGCCACAGGCTGTTTTGGAGATCTAGAACTTCTTTAATCTTCTTCCCATAGGCTGCAATACTCTTCTAATCTTGTTAATTCACTTTTATTTATCATCCATAATACTGTTGACTATAAATACGTAAATACTTTAAATATGCCTATTCTAGGTCTTTATACTTTTCATATTTTAATTTTTTAATTGTATTACAGTGTTATTACAGTGTTTCCCCTACGATTTTGTTTCAGGGAGGGGGGGGGGGGGGGGGGGGACTGTTAGTGTTGCGGATCGGGTGTGTTACGGATACATGGTGTAATTTTTTTAATTGAAATCATGTATTATGAATCATTAAACTTAAACAACATTTTTTTTTTATATATATATATGAAAAAAAAATTCACACTAATTCTGTGTTGTGTTTTTTCTGGTAATAAAATGAAGACATAAAACACAAATTTTATCATAAATTTTAATCATATGAAATTAAATAAACTTTTTGTCAAAGAACTTGCTGCACAATGAGCTTTAGCCTACTACTGTTAAAATTAAAACATGGATTATTCCTTAAAAATTTCAGTTTTGATGATAATTTATTTGGATTAGTGTATTATTACATTGGGACATATCTAAATTCTAATGTACAACAGTAATATATAATTTCTGTCAAGTTAAACCGAACTTTTATTTTGACGGGTTGCCGTGAAGACCTTTTGAGTTTCTGTGTGTTTATGTCATAATGATAGTTTTTCTCAAATGAAGCGGTGAAATGATCACGAAGTGACTTTCAGAGTGGATCTAGAGCCTGGAGACGAAGTTCATGCATTTGTGTATTCATAGGCCAAAAAACAGCGCAAGCGTCACACGCGCTTCAGTGTGTGTGTGTGTGGTAAATGAAACTGCGCGTCGACTCGGCGGCACCATTCATTCACTCAGAACATGCAGGCCGCCCCCCCAAAACAATGGTAGGGGAAACACTGTATTATTATGTGTATTGTTGTCGTATTTATATGTAAGCGAGAACAATTCCTTGTGTGTGCATTGCAAGGACACTTGGCAATAAAGCTCTTTCTGATTCTGATTCTGATTTATAGGGTTAACCATTTTCCACAAATGAATGAAGCAACTAAAAGGCAACTTGTTTCATGTGTGTGTGCAGCCACGGCACTGAAGATGAACATGAACCTCAGAGAGCTGTATTTGGCTGACAATAAGTTGAACGGTCTGCAGGATTCGGCTCAGTTGGGGAACCTGCTGAAGTTCAACTACAACATCCAGATTCTGGACCTGAGAAACAATCACATACTAGACTCAGGTCTGACCTCGTCTTCTCTCTGTATCTCCTCTTGGTCTCCTCCTCCAGAAATCTTTGTACTTGTCATTCAACCAATTGTAGCACACTTGTGTTCTCTCGGTATATCTGCCTTTTCTCGTTTCCTCAGGGTTGGCGTATATATGTGAGGGTCTGAAGGAGCAGAGGAAGGGTTTGGTCACGCTGGTGCTCTGGAACAACCAGCTCACACACAATGGCATGGGCTACCTGACCGCCGCTTTGGTAAACATCCACACAATTATGTCACAAAAGTTTCCATGAACAATTTCACAGACTTCTACATCTTCAGGGCTTATTCACTCCAAACTCAATTTTTGTCGTCTTCTGAGAAAAGTTTGTAAACCTGAAAGAAATAGAGGTTACACTTTTGTTTTAAGGTGTGCTTTTTAGTGTAATTATGCAATGAACTACTGCGTAATCTTAATTATCAACCATGTACTTACTGTCGGGGTTTGGTTTAGGGTTAGTGTTGTGTAATTATGCATGATTTATCATTTTTACTAAGGTCAGTACATGTAGCAAAGACTAAAATAAAGTGTTGCCAAAATATAATTGTGTACTACTACTACATATACTACTACTAAATATAAATGCTTGGGAAAAAGCTGATCATTTAGTAATAGGAAAATACTAGTAATATTGTATTAACGATTAATCAATTAATTGACTATGAAAATCTCTAGTAGGCCTGTATCTAATGATTATTTTTAATAATCGACTAATCTAACTGTTATTAGATTAATCAGGGTGATTTATTTTAGGACTGACTATTCAACAACAAAAACCCTGACCATTTTTTAATGATAATATCGACTAATGGTTTCAGGTCTAGTTAGTTATAGTAATATTTTACAATGTAATCACAAATGTTTGGGATTTAAAAATACTGTTTTCTGTTTGATTATATTTTAAATGTATAAGTAAGAGTGTTTTAAAAAAAAAAAGAAATTAATACTTTTATTCAGCAAGGACACATTAAATGGATCAAATGTGACAGACTTTTATAATGATTACAATTATTATTTCAAACAATTCCGGTTCTTTTAACTTTCTCAAAGAATCCTGAAAAAAACAACAACATCCAAGTACATATTTGACAGTTTAAAGGCCGATTAAAGTGTGAATTTTCACAGTGAAAAGATTTCAAAGAATGTAAGAAGTCAAAATGATGTTTAATAAGGAACAAAAGAAAACTGAGAACTGTCCTGTTGGTTGATTTTTGTAGTTTTACTGTTTTTACTCTTCAGATCAAATAAATTCAGCCTTGGTGAGCATATAAGACCCCTTTCAAAAACATAAAAAAAATCCAAACTTTCGACCAGTAGTGGATATACAACAAAACAATAGCCCCTTATGCCTTCTTATGAAATGACTGACAGTACAGCATGTCCACCGCAGACCGCCGACAGTGAGATGAGGCTTGTCCTCATTCAGTCAGATGGCCATTATGGAGATTGAGAGGATGCTGTGCCTGTTTGTTTGGCGGCTGCTGACCGTGCAACGCTCGTGTTTACGTGTGGCCTGGCATCTTTTTGTTAATTAAGGACTAAAGACACACACATTCTCACAGCCGTGTGTGTAATGCACTGCAGTATGTGCACGCCTTCTGAACAGGCTGTGCGGTTTATAACCAGTGTCTGAGCGTACATCCACACACTTTACTGCAAGAATACAGTATTTCCTGTTCCTAAGGTGTTTCCGCCATGGAATGAAAAAAGTAACAATTCTTTTTCTCACAATTCTTAATTTTTTCTAGCAGATGCAAGTTCATATCTCACATTTTTAAGTGTATATCTCGCAATTTAGAACTTTTTTTCTCATAATCCTGAGTTTAGATCTCACAATTTGTTACTTTTTCTCGGAATTCTGAACGTTTTCTTGGAATTTATATCTTTTTAGTTTATATCCAACAATTTCTTACTTTTTTTTTATGAATTCTGAGTTTATATCCAACAATTTCTTACTTTTTTTTATGAATTCTGAGTTTATATCCAACAATTTCTTACTTTTTTTTATGAATTCTGAGTTTATATCCAACAATTTCTTACTTTTTTTTTATGAATTCTGAGTTTATATCCAACAATTTCTTACTTTTTTTTATGAATTCTGAGTTTATATCTCACAATTTGTTACTTTTTTTATGAATTCTGAGTTTATATCCAACAATTTCTTACTTTTTTTATGAATTCTGAGTTTATATCTCACAATTTTTTACTTTTTTTATGAATTCTGAGTTTAAATCTCACGATTTTAACTTTTTTCTCATAATTCTGAGTTTAGATCTCACAATTTGTTACTTTTTCTCGGAATTCTGAACCTTTTCTCGGAATTTATATCTCACAATTTTAAACTTTTTTGGAATTCTGAGTTTATATCTCACAATTTTTTACTTTTTTATGAATTCTGAGTTTATATCCAACAATTTCTTACTTTTTTTTATGAATTCTGAGTTTATATCCAACAATTTCTTACTTTTTTTTATGAATTCTGAGTTTATATCCAACAATTTCTTACTTTTTTTTTATGAATTCTGAGTTTTATATCCAACAATTTCTTACTTTTTTTTATGAATTCTGAGTTTATATCCAACAATTTCTTACTTTTTTTTATGAATTCTGAGTTTATATCTCACAATTTGTTACTTTTTTTATGAATTCTGAGTTTATATCCAACAATTTCTTACTTTTTTTATGAATTCTGAGTTTATATCTCACAATTTTTTACTTTTTTTATGAATTCTGAGTTTAAATCTCACGATTTTAACTTTTTTTTCATAATTCTGAGTTTAGATCTCACAATTTGTTACTTTTTCTCGGAATTCTGAACCTTTTCTCGGAATTTATATCTCACAATTTAAAACTTTTTTGGAATTCTGAGTTTATATCTCACAATTTTTTACTTTTTTATGAATTCTGAGTTTTTATCCAACAATTTCTTACTTTTTTTTATGAATTCTGAGTTTATATCCAACAATTTCTCACTTTTTTTATGAATTCTGAGTTTATATCCAACAATTTCTTACTTTTTTTTATGAATTCTGAGTTTATTTCCAACAATTTTTTACTTTTTTTATGAATTCTGAGTTTATATCTCACGATTTAAACTTTTTTCTCATAATTCTGAGTTTAGATCTCACAATTTGTTACTTTTTCTCGGAATTCTGAACGTTTTCTTGGAATTTATATCTCATAATTTCTTACTTTTTTTATGAATTCTGAGTTTATATCCAACAATTTCTTACTTTTTTTATGAATTCTGAGTTTATATCTCACAATTTGTTACTTTTTTATGAATTCTGAGTTTATATCCAACAATTTCTTACTTTTTTTATGAATTCTGAGTTTATATCTCACAATTTGTTACTTTTTTTATGAATTCTGAGTTTATATCTCACAATATTTAACTTTTTTTATGAATTCTGAGTTTAAATCTCACGATTTTAACTTTTTTCTCATAATTCTCAGTTTACATCTTGCAATTTTTTACTTTTTCTCTGAATTTTGAGGTTTCATCTTGCAATTTTTTACTTTTTTCTCATAATTCTGTTTACATCTTGCAATTTTGACCTTTTCCTCTGGATTCGGAGTTTATATCCACCACATAACCATTTACCATTAATTCAGTTGAACAACGGACACTACAATTATGAACTGAAAGCGTCTGCTTTCCAAACAGCACGAGCAACTGGAGTCAGATTTCACTTATCACATGAGAAGAGTAAGGAGAGATGACTGACAAGACGATGGTGGAGGATTTGGTGCGCAACAGATCCTGAGCGTTATTGACGTATATTATCTTGTCAAATGTGCTGTCAGACCCTATACGCAGCATATGCATGATTGCGAATTCGAAAGAGAATCGAGTGTGCATTTAAAATCGATTTCAATACCCCAGATTTTGATCCCACCCCAGTGTTGTCGTAAGTTTATTTATCGGTGTAAAGATTTCCTCACCGGTACATACCTAGTTCACACTGAATATTTAATCCACTTTCAGTTCCTTCAGTTGTTTTTCTTTTTCTATTTGCACTCTTTTACTTTTACTGATCCATCTCTTTCGCTCCCTGCTGCTGTAGCCGTACACTCAAAGCTTGGAAACACTGAACCTGGGCCATAATGCAGTAGGGAACGAAGGAGTGCACAAACTGAAAGACGGACTCGTAGCGAACCGGTCCATCCTCAGGTTGGGTCTGGCCTCCACCAAACTCTCCTGCGAAGGTAAGATCTGGAGTGCAAACGTGAAGTTACATAAGACCACAATGAATTTGCTTCATCTAAGATGGATGACTTTGAATTCTGGAGTAGGGCTGCACCGATTAGCATCGATATCGAGATGTGCGCATCCGTTAGAGTCACATCGCAGGATATGCGATGTCAAGTGTAGGCATCGTAGTTGATCCGTATGCGCCAGATGCTCCCCGGTTCAGAATGCTTGTGATTCGCGGATTATTTGGAAAGTTTAACCATCATAGAGTGATGAAAGTTTATCATTTGCATGTGTTTTTAAGTCGAATCAGGCATCAAGTGCAAGAGTCGCCGCGCGCTGTTTTCTATGCGCACACACAAAGCCGAATTCAGTTTTCTTTCTCTTTCTTTTGAGCTTAAATGGACACGTGCACGTAAAATGAAGTCAAAATCCCCGTCTCGGTGAGAATCCTCGTGAACACAGTCGCTTATGTGTTGTAAACAGAAAGAAAACTGATGCATGTCATTTTAGGTCTTCATTTATATAGTTTTACATTTGATTATTCAATTTTTGTACCTGAACACTGTTAGATTTACCTGAAAAACATGTATCTTCTATTGTATTTATCTATGCTTGTAATTTTTTAATAATTTGATTCAATCCTCTACAAAATCACCCCAATTATTCTAGAATGATTAATTATTTTCAAATAGAACTATTCAAATCATCTGCCGAAATTGTTTTTGTATCGCAATCTATATTGCAGAAAAACAAAATATCGCACATTTTTTCCAATATCGTGCAGCCCTATTCTAGAGGCCAGCTTGTGTTAAGTATGTGTGAGCACGAAGATGACCGAGTGCTTGTTCATATGCTAGGAGCTGTCGCTATAGCGGAGTTCATCGCGGAGAGTCCGAGGCTCCTCCGGTTAGACATGCGGGAGAACGAAATCAAGACCGGCGGCCTCATGGCTCTCTCCCTCGCCTTTAAAGTCAACACATCTCTGCTGCGACTCGACCTGGACCGAGAGCCCAAGAAAGAGACGGTGAGTGTTTGCTAAAGGGGAGGGGAAAAGATTTAGCTTGATATAAAGTAGGACTGAGTATATTTACAATGATTTTCCTGCTGGAACACTAATATGTCGCAACTAGTTTCAATGTGGAAATGTTTTTTTTGGGGTTTTTTGGCATTACGTTTCCAGTTTTATTAGACTAGTTTCATGATCCTTCTATATTTCAAATTTATTGTTAAGAGGAAAACCCCTTGAAATGTGACATCTCGTTTTCGAGGGCACCTCAAGAAAAACATACATACATACTAACAGAACAAAAACAAACGTTATCTCACAACGTGCAATGTGCATGGGAGCGTTAAGACAGATACGACATTAGATATGGTGAGTTTTATTTATTTCCGTGAGTTCAGACTGATTTAAAACTCTAAATGAAAATCCGAAATATTAAAATCTTCATGTGGGATTTGTTTTTAAGATCAGCAGGGTAAATATGGCTGTTTATTACAATGTAATTTTATATTGGAGCCACTTATTTTATTTTTCCACTAACTACAGTTAATTATTTACCTCAGTGTTCAGCAGATGTAACTATGACATTGATCTCTTTTTATTGCATAACTGCACTACAGCTTTTGTTCTCTCTGTTCATACAGGTGAAGAGTTTCATTGAGACACAGCGCGCCCTGCTGGCAGACATTCAGAATGACTGCAAGAGGAACTTCATCTTGGCCAAAGAGAAGGAAGAAACAGAACAGAAAATGAGACAGTCCGCTTCAATGCCAGAAATCACCATAGAGGAACAAGCTCAGGAGGATGAGGAAGATGCATCTGCTGAGAAAAGCGAGGAAGAAAATGTGGCTGTTCAGAAAAACTCAACCGAGGAGGAGGGCAATGAAGAGGACGTATCTGAGAACCAAGAAGTCAAAGAGCAAGAAACGACACTGCAAGACGACTCCGACTCGGACACTGAGGATGAAGAGATAGTAGAGGCATCCAATGCCTCAACACAGAGCACATCTCAAATACCGGTTCCTGCAATAAACACCTGTAAGGTCGTGCCCTTGGCGCCGCCTCTACCAGGATCTCCAGCCCTCATTTCGGGAATTAAAGTGACAGAAGCCAATGTTTCCTCCGGAGCCCCATCATCTCCTGGACGCCTTTTCTCTGTGTCTAGTCCTGGCAGAGGACACAAAATCTTTATGGTAACGCGTGTTGAAAGCCCTCCTGAGCAGCAACAGGCGACTGCATTGCCAAAATGTGTCCTCGAGAGGGCGGTAGAGAGCCAAACATCTGAAACACCCACGCAAATCCATATAAAAGCACCTTTAGATGCACCTTCACAAGCGCCTGAGCAGAAATCAACACAACTAGCGGAGTCTGAGCTCAGTGCGTTAACATCACATGCAGAAACAACACCAGCGCCCGCCGAAGTACTAAACACGTCAACGTCTGCACTGGCAGATGAAGTCTTCACAACTCATTCTGATGAAGTTCAGCAAGCTTCACAGGAACTTGCTACGCCATTTGAAAGCCAAGTTAGACTCGATCAGACTCACTTAGACTCGCAGGAGTTACCAGTGAATGCAAAGACAAAAACATCACAAGATACCAGTGAGGAGGACCAGATGTTCTCCTCTCACACTGAACAGATCCAGGAGTCAAGTCCCACCCAAAGAGAGCCATCAGTGTCAGAACCGCCTCGAGACGGGACGCTAAACCCCGAAGAACTGCAATCCAGTGAGCAGCGAGAGGTCACAGGAGGTCATGAACTCCTAGAAACGGAGGGCTCCAGTGCACAAGAGGGATCTCCTGATGAAGAAGAAGAAGGTTGTCCGGTTATGAGCACGGGAATAGTGTTGCCCAACGGGCTGAAGCCAGAGTTTGCCTTTCACCTGCTCGAAACAGAGGGACTCAAACCAACCAGCTGCATTATGGAGCATGGTGAGTTACCATTGGATTACCGTGTATAGACAGAGCGACACGCGTCGTAATCTGAAAACCACGCCCATTAACTCTCCATTAACTTTGCATTGCGAGAAGCTGCCTCCTTGTCGTTTCTAGGGCTGGGTATCGATTCAGATGTTCAAATTCGATTCGATTTCGATTCACAAGCTCACAGTTCGATTCTCGATTCGATTTCGATTCTCGATTCGACTATAATGAATATAGATGTAATACAAATCTCAGTCTAAATATCAGTTATCATTTTTTAGACAATTTTTTATTACATTGATCTCACCTAAATGTTTGTTTTTACAATGGGGTAATTTTTTTGTTAAAGGGATACTCCACTTTTTTTGGAAATAGGCTCATTTTACAACTCCCCCAGAGGTAAACTGTTCAGTTTTACCGTTTTTGAATCCATTCAGCCGATCTCCGGTTCTGGCGGTACCACTTTTAGCATAGCTTAGCATACATCATTGAAGTGGACAAGACCATTAGCATTTCTAAAAAAAAAAAAAAAAATGACCAAAGAGTTTCAATATTTTTCCTATTTAAAACTTGACTCTTCTGTAGTTACATCGTGCACTAAGACCGACAGAAAATGTAAAGTTGCGATTTTCTAGGCTGATATGGCTAGGAACTATACTCTCATTCCTGCGCAATAATCAAGAAACTTCACTGCCGTACCATGAGTGCAGCAGGCGTAATGATATGACGCAGCGCCTGAAAATAGGCTACCTTCCGTCAACACAACGGAACTATTTTCAGGCGCTGCGTCATATCATTACGCCTGCTGCTCTCATGGTACGGCAGTAAAGTTTCTTGATTATTGCGCAGGAATGAGAGTATAGTTCCTAGCCATATCAGCCTAGAAAATCGCAACTTTACATTTTCTGTCGGTCTTAGTGCACGATGTAACTACAGAAGAGTCAAGTTTTAAATAGGAAAAATATCGAAACTCTTTGGTCATTTTTTTTTTAGAAATGCTAATGGTCTTGTCCACTTCAATGATGTATGCTAAGCTATGCTAAAAGTGGTACCGCCAGAACCGGAGATCGGCTGAATGGATTAAAAAACGGTAAAACTCAACAGTTTAACTCTGGGGGAGTTGTGAAATGAGCCTATTTCCAAAAAAAGTGGAGTATCCCTTTAAGAGTTTATGCAACACATGGAAGCTTGATTTCAATCTTTGAATTAAATTGAAAAAAGTAGCACAAAATAAATACAATAGAATAGGCCTAAAGACACAAATAAAGAGACATAAAAAGAAAAGTTTTTGGGTAGGTCAGAAATACTACAGAAACTGAATAAAGTAATCCAATGTAAAATAACACTGGATAGTCTTTTAGTCCTGACTGAATTAAATACATAGGCTATTAATTCTGATTCCTTACAATTAATGCTATATTATGTTGTTTTGACAATTAATGACAGACACATATGGCTGCGTTCACTTTAAGAACTAGTGCATGGATCCATTACTGTTCCATTATACTGTCTGTCACACGCGTTTTATGCTTATTTAAGACATAACCGACTGTCTTTACGAGGTTACTCACCAAGACCAGAGTTTTGACATCATTTTGCGTGTTTTTAACTGTTAAAGCGATATAATCCACGAAAAATAACTTTTGTTACTGGCGAGCTGTTTGTGAGGCGGATTTAGGCTTTACTGTATGTGCACGCAATGAAAAACATACACGAGTGCGCGAGCACAGGATAGTTTAAAATTGCTTGAATGTTTAAACTGGTAAAACTTAAAAAAGTTGTGAAAATGATAAACGTTAGTTACGATGCAATGCTGGCCCGATTGTGCAAGTGAATCATGTCCCGACTCCTAAACACGAGTGTGTATCGACGCCTGCAGCGGTTGACGCTTGCCTCGTGCAGAGAGAGAAGACGCAGCACTGCGAGCCCTGAATATGGGAAAAATCGATTCGTGGCCGTTGAGAATCGATTTTGAATCGACCACATTTTAAAAAACGATTAATCGAAAAATCGATTTTTTTGCCCAGCCCTAGTCGTTTCTGACTTACAAAAAAAAAAAAAAAACATCTAAAAGCTGCTATTGTGTAACGCTTACAAGCATAAAACAAAAACAAAAAAAAAACAGAAATATGTTTTTGTAAGCTGTCGACCCCAAGAAACATGCGTTTAAAGGGATAGTTCGGCCAAAAATGATATTTAACACATGCATTACTCACCCTCAAGCCGTTCGAGATGCATATGTCAATCTTGTTTCAGACGAACACATTTTCAGTTATTTTAGAAAATGTCTTAGACCCTTCAGTGGATATAATGTGAAGCAATGGGGTCCACCTCCTTCAAGTCCCAAAATGTGCATACATCCTTCACAAAAGTAATCCATCCGGCTCCAGGGGGATAAACGAAGGCCTTTTGAGGGTAATCCGTGCGGTTTTGTCGTAAAAATATACATATTTAAAACTTTATAAATGAAAATATCTGACTTCCGGCAACGATCGACGCGCGTTCACGGGTGATGGAAGTCGGCGTACGAGGTATGACTTAGCGTAGGAACCGTCGTGACGTATAACGAACGCGCCTGCGCAGCCAGAGTGCAGAGCAAAACAAAACTACACTCAGTTCACCCGTGAACGCGCGTCGACCGTTGCCGGAAGTCAGATATTTTCATTTATAAAGTTTTAAATATGTATATTTTTACGACAAAACCGCACGGATTACCCTCAGAAGGCCTTCGTTTATCCCCCTGGAGCCGGATGGATTACTTTTGTGAAGGATGTATGCACATTTTGGGACTTGAAGGAGGTGGACCCCATTGCTTCACATTATATCCACTGAAGGGTCTAAGACATTTTCTAAAATAACTGAAAATGTGTTCGTCTGAAACAAGATTGACATATGCATCTCGAACGGCTTGAGGGTGAGTAATGCATGTGTTAAATATCATTTTTGGCCGAACTATCCCTTTAAAGGGATAGTTCACCCAAAAAATTTAATTAGCCCATGATTTACTCACCCTGAAGTAGGGCTGGGCGATATGGCCCAAAAAAATTATCACGATATTTTTTTTTATATCAGTCGATATCGATAATTATCACGATAAATGTCAAATCTTTATTTCTTTCAAGTTTAAAGGCAGATTTTTGCTCCTAAGTGAAAGTTGGATAAACCAGAGCGTTAATTGTGGTTTTAAACTACTCTTTATTGTCAGAACATATCATGACAAACACTTGCCAAACAGGTGAACATTTCACAAATCTGAGGTAGAACATTCAAACATTTGTCATTTTTCCTTAACAAAATTAATATCTGAATAGAAAAATATTTCTTCAGCACAGTTTGCAGTGCAGACGGCAATATTCAAATTACATGTTTTGTCTCGAAATGCATATTTGACAGTGAGTTGACAGTAAATCTGCATCCTAACTCAAGCTAATACTACTGTTAAATTTATGTTCATTAACAATAACAGTAACATCTGTTTAAAAAGAAATTAACGGCCACATTTTTATTTGGTAAAATGTAATATTCTGACTGTTTGAGTTTTATTAAAATTAACCATTGGTCATCCAGTATCATGCATTTAGATCATGATAACCAAAGATAAAACCAGGCAAAGCCTATAACTTAGCACCTCACTATCATGGCAAAATGTAACTTTATAGTTTCTATGGTATTTGTATGAAAAACAGTAGCCTAACAGTGAAATACATTATTAAATACTGTAATTATATCCCATTAGTCATTTAATACATTGTCTACATTAACAATATTATACAATTCAATATGTAACCCACACTTCATGGTGCAGTTAATATGACTAGGCTAACCTTACAGTAAATCCATGGTAGGCTAAATGGATTCAGTATCAATTCAGATTCTGACTGTATCGTTGCGCGCAGTGTTTCTCCTGTTTGTCAGCGGTGTTTCATCTGCCTTTAAACATTTGTGTTCTTCGCTGAACTCAAGCGCTTCTCACTGGATCTCGTGAGCGAGACGATCAGAGTAAACGCGTCTGCTCTAGTGAGCTCGCGCTGCCGTTTGGACTTTGAGCCGAGCGAGTGGATTTTGAGTCCGTGAGCGCGCGCGGTTCAAATGAGTTTCGTTCCGCTTTTGGCGCATAAACATTATCGAACATTTATCGACCTCTTGATATCGTTTTATCGAGAAAAATTATATCGCGATAATTATCGTTATCGTTTTATCGCCCAGCCCTACCCTGAAGCCATCCTAGGTGTGTATGACATTCTTCTTTCAGACGAATACAATCAGAGTTATATTAAAAAATGTCCTGGCTCTTCCAAGCTTTATAATGGGAGTCAATGGGTATATTTTTTTGGAAGTCCATCAAAGCGCATCTATCCGTGATAAAAGTGCTCGAAACGGCTCTCCGGGGGTTAATAAAGGCCTTCTGAAGCGATGCGTTCGTGTAAGAAAAATATCCATATACTTTATCGACTAAAATAACTAGCTTCCGGCAGACGGCCGTACGCAAGTCACATTGTAGTATATTTTGATTAAATGACTTTTCCTTGGTTTCTAAGACCTGTTCACACCAATCTCAATGTGAAGTCAAGTTACCTTTATTTATATATAAATTTAAATGTAAATTATACGTATTAACCTGTTAACTGTCACCCCCCTTTTTTTGAATAGACATGAAAATGCACATTTCGAACATAAATGGTTGTAATTCAAGAATGCTTTGGAATATAGACGTAAGATTGGTCTTGTTTTAAAGAAGACATTTGGCAGATTTATGTAGAAGTGAAATAAATTAAGAAAGTGAAACAGAAAAAAAGTTATAGAAGTTTTAAGTTTATGGAAATGTACAATGTAAAAAAAAATATTATTCATATTTTATTTAAAATCTATATTTTCAAAACCTGGGCTACTCTAAAACTGCAGAAAAATCAAAGCCAAAAATCTGAACAAGTTGTGTTTCAAATTTTAGGTTGATATCTCAAAAAATGAGCTTTCAGTAAGATTTTGTTTGGGCGCAGTACCAAACTTTT